GAATTTGGGTGGAATGTTTCATTCTAAAAGTCCTATAATTAGGCGTAATTTTCTTAACACAGAATATAATTTCTTATTTTGTTTCTTTAATTTTGGGGTGAAAAATAATATGGACGTTTTTGTAATATTCAACAATTATCATACAGATGTTGGCACGACAACTGGTCCATTGCTGTTGATTTCAATCTCTAGATTCATGCTATTTATCCTTTCTTTTCTCTGCAGACCAAAAACCTAGAAACATAAGAGAAAAAGTTAGAATTAGATTTTATATACCAAAACATTACCTACATATTCACAGGTCAATCATACAGTAGTACAAAAATACATCGGAAAAAATGATTGTTTTGCTCACAAGATCACTGTGTGTTTCTCATAAGTGTGTTTGAGCATTTGAATAATTATTATAATTAATTTATGTTAATCAGTTCAGTCCTATATAACTAGCAAACACCTGTCTTCTAGCACAGGCGCACACACACCTGCGTGCGGTGCTGTCTGTTCATAGTTTTGCAGAGCGAGATGAGACAATACCCAGCAGCCGTTCCACGTCATTGGCTGAGGTAAGCCACGCCCCTCCGTCTGCGACCAGTATAGCGCCGGTGACGTATGAAGCCGCGCGACTGGCCAGGAAAAGAACTGCATGTGCGATCTCCGTCTTATTGCCGGCTCTTTGCAGTGGGATGCTGCGGAAAACCCCCGCTGACTCGGAATGTGAACCACCTGAAAATCCAGTGATTATTAAAGAAAAAAAAGAGGTATATTGACACTAGAATGAGGCTACACACACACACACAACTGTCTTACCCAGTCTACGGTAACCCTCTGTGCCAGAGATGGGGCCTGGAGCCACTGTATTCACCCTCACACCACTGGGGCCCCACTCGACCGCCAAATGCCTTGTCATGGCATCTACAAACACGTATACATATGCAGATAATTAGTCCTTATTTTATCGCAGAATTATTTTAGTATAATTTATTAATTTTTTTAAAGATTTTTAATATTCTCACTTTTTTTGTAATTTTGTTTGTCATTTTATTCGTTTTTTATTTTTATTTGTCCATTTAGTTTAGTTTTTCAAATTAAAGTAAATGAAAATGAGAAATGTTGAATCAGAAACAAAATAAGTTTAAGTTTTTGTTATTTTATTATTTTTATATTTTAGAACCTTTTTTTTTTTTTTTTTTTTTAAAGTTAACTAACTTT